ATCCTGGGACTCCAGGATCATGACCTGAGCCGAAGGCAGTCGCTTAACCAGCTGAGCCACCCAGGCGCCCTGCTGGTTAACTTCTTAAAAAACTTTTTATTTTGAAATAATTATAGGTTCTCAGGAACTTGCAAAGATGATGGGGAGAGGTATCACACAGTTTCCCCTAGTGGTTACGTTTTCTAGAACTGCAGTGTGAGCTCACCACTAGGAAATTGATGCTGGTGCTCTGTGTGCATGCGTGTGTGTGTGTGTATGTTTTGGGGGGGGAGGGAGGGAGAGATTCTGTGACGAGCTCTCCCACGTGAGGGTCTGTAGCCAACACAGCTCAGCTCCATCACCTCCAAGATCCTATCACTGCCCTGGCACAGTCACCTGCCCCCCTGCTTCCCCTGCCATCCCCAGTCCCTGACAGCGGCTAATTTGTATCCTATCTTTATAACTTTGCCACTTCAAGAATATTCTATAAATGGAACCACATAGTATGTGACCTTTTGAGATTGCCTTTTTTACTCTGCATAATTTTGAGATCCACCCGGGTTGTTGCATGAATCAAGTGTGTTCGTTCCCTTTTACTGCCGAGTCCTATTCCGTAGTACGGAGACCCCCACAGAGTGTAACCATTTCTCTGTTGAGGGACTTCGGGGTTGTTGCGAATAAAGCTGCTCTGGGCATTCTTGCACAGGATTTTGTGAGGACATAAATTCCCATTCCTCTGGGTTCAACGCCCAGGAGTGAGATTTCTGGATTGTATGATAAGTATATGTTTGTTTAAGAAACTAGAAAACCGTTTTCCAGAGAAAACGGCCTTCTCGCAGCCCCATCAACGATGCATGAGACAGCAAATATCTTTGTGTCCTCACCCCCATTTGGTGTCCTCACTGGTTTTGTTTTAGCTGTTTTAATAGTGGGTAGTGACACCTTGCCGAAGTCTTAATCTGCTTCGCCCTCACCTGCTTACTTGCTGTCTGTGTGTGCTTTCTGGTGAAACATCTCTTCATACCTTCTGCCCATTTTCTAACTGGATTGTTTTTCCAGCTGTTGAGTTTTGAGTGTTCTTTATATATTCTAGATAGAAGTCCTTTGTTAGAGATGTGGTGGGTTGTTGTTGTTTTTTTTTTTTCCAGCCTCTTAAGAGTCTTTTGCAGAACAGAGTTTTGAGTTTTATGAAATCCAGTTTATTGATGTCTTTTTTTTATAAATCAGGCATTTCATGTTCTAAAAACTGTTTACCAAGCTGTATATGCTAACCATTTTCTCCTATGTTGTAGTTTTATGTTTTTTGTTTTTTGTTTTTTTTTTAAGATTCTATCTATTCATTTGACAGAGGGAGACACAGCGAGAGAGGGAACACAAGCGGGGGAGTGGGAGAGGGAGAAGCAGGCTTCCCGCCGAGCAGGGAGCCTGATGTGGGGCTCGATCCCAGGACCCTGAGATCATGACCTGAGCCGAAGGCAGATGCTTAACGACTGAGCCACTCAGGCGCCCCTATAGTTTTATGTTTTGAGTTAATTCTCCAGTGTCATTTGCTGAAAAGGGTATTCTTCGGGCACCTGGGTGGCTCAGTTGGTTAAGCCACTGCCTTCGGCTCAGGTCATGATCCTGGAGTCCCGGGATCGAGTCCCGCATCGGGCTCCCTGCTCGGCAGGGAGTCTGCTTCTCCCTCTGACCCTCCTCCCTCTCATGCTCTCTGTCTCTCATTCTCTGTCTCAAATAAATAAATAAAATCTTTAAAAAAAAAAAAAAAAAAGGAAGAAAGAAAAGGGTATTCTTCCTCTGTGTAATTGCTTTTGGATCTTTATAAAAATCAGCGGGCCGTGCTTGTGTGGGAGCATCGTTGGGTTCTCGCCTATGTTCAGTTGACCTAGGTGTCTGTTCCTTCACTAAATCCACACAGTCTTGATTATTATAGCTGTATAGTAAGTGTTGAAATTGAGTGATTCCTTTCACTTAGTTTCTGTAAATTGTTTTAGCTAATCTAGCACCTTTCCATAAATTTTAAAATAACTGTAACTACACACGCGCACACACACACACACACACACACACACACATAGAACACACACCATATCCATACCTATAAAAGATCTTGCTGGGATTTTGTAGAAATTGTGTTAAACTTGTATATCAATTTAGAGAGAATTGATGTCATTACTATTTTAAAGCTTCCAATCCATGAACATGGTATGTTCCTCCATTTAATAGGTTTACTTTGATTTCTTTCATCATTTTGTTTTCAGCATACAAGTCCTGTACATGTTTTATAAGATTTATACTCTTTTAGTGATTGCTAATAATATTGCATTTTAAATTTCAATTTCTACATGTTCATTGCTAGTAGACAGTTGACTTCTGTGGGTTGATTTTTACGTCCAGTGACCTTGCTGAATGAGTTCACTTGAATTCTAGGAGGCTTTTTTGGTAGGTTCCTTGGAATTTTCTACATAGATATCATTTCATTTCTTCTGAAAGTAGGCTTAGTTTTATTTTCTCTCTCTCTCTCTCTGATCTTTACACCTTATATTTCTATTCTTTATCTTACCGTACTGGCTAGAACTCCCAATACCATGTTGATTGGCCCTGCTGAGAGTGGGCATCCTTGTCTTGTTCCCAGTTTTGAAGGAAAGGATTCAGCTGTAGGTTTTTGTCAGTGTTCGTTAAGTTAAGGAAGTTCTTCTCTATTCCTAGTTTTCTGGGTGTTTTTATCATGAATGGGTGTTAATTTTTTTTAATGCCTAGGTCTTTTTCTCTAGCTAGATTCTGAGTTTCTGGAGATCAGACTCTGCTTCATAAACATTTTGTTTACCTGCAGTGCCTAGCTTGTGCTTTTCCCGGAGTAAGCATTGAACTCATGTTTGTGGATCAGTATAAACGGGCCTGGTTACTGATGGCACATGCGTGTGGGTCCTAAGGAGGGAACTCACAGGAACACCTCTCACCAGCAGTCCCGATTTGCTAGGCTTGGAGGAGAGATCCTAGCTATTCTTTCTGGTCCCCGTTACCATTTGACTCGGTGGTTTCAGGCAGAAATGGAAGTTGTAGGCACCAAACTGATGCTGCAGCAGAGATACAAGGAAGGCAGAGACCTGAGGAGTCCTCTCTGACCCAAGTGTTGGAAGTGAAACTTTTTAGGGTAACTGCCAACTAAAAACCACTGAGTTGTACACTTTAAATGGGGGAATTGTATGTTATGTGACTTATATCCAATAAAGATGTTATTTTTTTTTTTAAAAGCAAGTGCCAAGTGGGCAGTGAGGTCTGGGATTTTCTGTGCCAGGGGGTGAGTTACTGCTCCCAGTCGTTTGGGGTCTGAGCCCATGAAGGCTTTTCCAGACAGGCCCCCTGCTGCTCTTCGCCCACCGCAGTATTCACTGGGTCCCCTCAGAACTTAGAAACTGGCTTAGGTACAGTATTGCTAATTCGGAAGCACTAGCCTAAGAGCGATGAACTGGACCTACTTCCCGGTGGGACCAGATCTCCCACAGTCTGGATGCTTCTGCTCCTGTACTTAAGGCGAGTCTGTGAGGTAAGAACGGGGCCAGAAGTACTTTAACAGTGAGGAACTAAGAAAAAATGAAAACAGGCGCCTGGGGGGCTCAGTTGGTGAAATATCTGCCTTCAGCTCAGGTCGTGATCTCAGGGTCCTGGGATGGGGTCCCGCATTGGACTCCCTGCTCAGCGGGAAGCCTGCTTCTCCCTCTCCGTCTGCTGCTCCCACTGCTCCTGTTCTCTCTCACTCATGTTCTCTCTCAAAATAAATAAATAAAATCTTTAAAAAAATAATGCAGTTTCTCATTATCACTAGCAGTGGTGGCATTAAATCGAGGATGTGCCCCCCCAGCTCCTGTTTTAGGGGGACGGGCAGGCCGCTCGGCTTGTGGTGCATTTCGGTTTTGTCCTGTTTCCCAACTGCTGGCCACTCTTTAAACTGAAAGAGGCACTGTGTCCTCCTGGTGTGGAGGAGCTGCCAGGTTTCAGCGAGTTGAGACCTGGGTGCCTTGATGAAGCGAACCAAGAGACCGATCCTGGTGGATGGCCTGGGAGTTTTCTGCTTGATGACAGTCGATGCCCGTGCAGAGGCTCTCTGTTGTGATGTCGTCTTGGAAGCACAATTAAACCCTTTCTGTGTCTTTTATCTCGCAGGGCTCAAGGGTTCTTGTTGATGCACGAGACAAGCTTGGCATTCCGTGGCAGTATTCGGAAAATGAGAAGCACGGCATGTTCCTCCTGGCCTTTGAGAACAAGGCGGGGCTGCCTGTGGAGCCCGCCACCTTCCAGCTGTACGTCCCCGCGCTGAGCGCTCTCTGGAGGGACTCCGGCATCAGGGAGGCTTTCAGCCGGAGGAGCGAGTTCCAGCTGGTGAGTGGTGCGCAGGCCCCAGGGCGGCACGGTTGTGTTTTACGTGGCTGATTGGACCTTCAGTAGAAGTTCCTTAAAAACTGTCAAAGTACCGGCCAGCTGCGCATTGGTGTAAATCCTAACGTTCAACAACAACAAAAACACATAACGGAAGCAAATCAAGCTATTAAATGGTTTAAGGGGGCAACGTGAATTCAGTCTGGCTGAGTCAATGTTTTGTTCAAAGAGTACAAAAGATTCTTAAAATACTAAAATTAAGTGTAACTCACGGAACTCAAAGTATTTAGGCCTTATTCATAGTAGGAAACTACTGTCTCCTGAGAGCCGCTTTCCAGCTTGTACCATGTGGGTCCTGGCCAGTCGTGACTGTGTCCAGATCAGCACCTTGGGAGCGAACCTGAACCTTCCCAGTTGCTCTTCTTGGATTCTTTCCTTTGATTTTAAAGTCTGAAAGTTCCGAAATGCCTGGTCGTCTCTGTCATTTAGATTCATCTAAGATATGCCTGTTGGCATTTTGGCTTTTTCCTCAATGTCCTTCATTCGCCATAGACGAAGTATCTGGTTTCTGCTGTCACTGGCACAGTGGTTCCCGCCCGCGCCATCCACGCCCGTCCACGCCCAGGGGCTCCGAGCACCTGGGACTCCCATGCCGTCTGCCCCTGGGAGCTGGGACCCCAAGTTTGGAGCCATCAGTCCCCTCCTTTCTTAGAGTTTTGCCATAATATGTACTTTTCAAGTTTTCTCTATTTTCAAACTTGATATAAACCGTATATATTCTCCTGTGACCTGCAGGTTTGAGATTGATTCATGTTGCTGGTGTGGCTGGGATTCCTTCATTTTCACTGCAGGAATAAATCAGGGGGGTCCGTTCTCTCTGTGCTGTGGCCTTTCTTGTGTGTCTCCCGACATACGTGTGCAGGGGTTTCTTCGGGACATGTCCCGTGTGAGCAAGACTGCCTGGTCATTGGGCACATAGACCTCCTAATAGACAAGATCTGTCCGATCATTTTCCAGAGTGGTTGTAGAGAGTCCCTGTTGCTCTCATCCTTGCTGATACTGAGGATTACCCAACTTTAAAAATTGTATTAGTATCTCCTTATGGTTTCATTGAAATCTCCCTGATGATATTCATCGGCTACATGTGTTTTCTGGGCTGTGCCTATTCATGATTTTCCCAGTTTTTTTTAATGAGTGATTTGTATTGGAGGGTCCTGCGGATGGTCTGCCTGGTCATTTTTTCCGTCCAGTTTCCATATGCTCTTCACCCTGTCTCTGCTGAAGCTGACCTCTTAAAGAGACGGAGTAGGGCCGTCAGTGCCAGGAGATGGGTGTGGAGCTGCACGGTGAATGAAGCTACAGACCCCAATCTGGTTCCACCGTTTTCCCTCGAGGAGCTTTCCCAAGTCCCCAGATCCGGCTCGGGACCCCACACAGCCTCAGTCGTCACTCTCCTTAGTCTCCAATCTGTGACCGACCTCTGTCTTGTCTTGGTTTCCATGACCTCGACACTTCGGGAGCACTGGCCAGTTATTTTGTGGTGTCTCTATTTGGGTTTCTCTGGTATTTCCTCATTGTTAGAATGAGGTGATGCGTTTTTTGGCAGGAAAACCACAGAAGGGATGATGTACCCACACAGAGCATCCTTTCAGGGGTTCAGCTCCTGGTGACGTGAGGCCGGGCTTGCAGGGTCTCTGCTGTAGAGTTACTCTCGTTCTCGTTACTGTTAAGTATTTGGAGACAGTGCAGATATCCTGTTTCTCCTCAAGCTTTGGCCCACTCATTTATAATATCCACGGGTGGATCTTACAGGTGACATTTTTATAACCCTTTCTCATCTTTGCAGTCTTTTTCAAGTTAACTTTAAAAATTAAGGTGGGAGAGTCAAAAGAATGAGAGGGTGTGGCTGTCCTGGAAAAAAAATCTTAACCTTCTAAAGGGGGCAATGTCAGAAACAACCAGGGAATACAACATCTAAGTGTGAATTTGGGGTTTAAGTCTTTCTCCCTGTAAACGGATATGTTCTAGGAGAGAAGGCGGAAATCGCTACCACTGATTGAGGATTTACTGAAGAAGCCAGTGTAAACCTCCAGAGCCGATTATTTACAACTCGTGTTGAATAAGCATTCGGCCTGGGAGGGTGGTATGCTGGGGCAGTTTTGCCAGACTTCTGTGTGCTGGTTCCGTTGCGTGCTGTGTCCTCAAGCTGGAAGGGACCTCCCAGCTGAGTACCAAAGCCTCGTGTTGGTACAGACCGGGAAATAAGCTGGAGAGGTTATGGTTTGCTCAAGGCCGTGTCCTCTTAATTATCACCATGATGAACTCGAGCCTCTGAAGCCAGTCTGCTTGTTTCTCCATTCATTTATTCATCCAGTGTTTATGGAGCATCTTCTATGTGCTGGACACTGTGTAGTATGCTGGGGATACAGCAGCGATGAGACCAACCATGAGTCTGTCCCCGAGAGCCTTTAATCTAGACCCTTGGTGTGGGGTTCAGGTAAGGCTGCCAGAAGGTGGATATCGATGTCTCTCTTTCTGTCTTGTGCCCCCACAGCCGGGCTCTCTGAAGACCCGGTGCCTGGGAGGTGTACGTTCCAGGGAGCTGGCTACCCTTCAGGACTGTCCTCACCAAGGGAACAGTGACAGTGGGTTTGGTTCATTGGGTAGTTAGGTGTTTGTTACTCTCATACTTGATACTTTTCTATAGGTTTCCTTTTATTTTAAAAAATTAGAGCATTTTCTTAAAAGAGGTGGGCAGTAGGCCTTCCTAGCCCTCGTGGCCGAGGAGTGCAGTTACGGCCAGCTGTGAGGGGTGTGAGCATCATCGTGCGGCATGATCAGCCCTCCCCTGCCCCGTCTGCAGCCCATCCCTCACCTCTCTTCTCTGTGGATCTTCCTCTTAGTGTCAGAACCTTTCCAGGGTGATGCTTCATCAACTTGTTTTTTCCTTTTTCTCTCCTCCCCTGGTGACCAGCCTTTGACCGTCTCTCAGTGGAGAGATCCAGCAGCTTTTGAGAATTGCTGTCAGCCAGGTGTGAGATTTTTTTTCCTGTTCCCTCTGCCCTCTGGGTTTTACTTTACCATTCCAGGCAGAGGCAGAAACAAAAAGGGGAGGAAGAAAGGCCAAGTCTGGTGACTGCCTTGTGAGGGCCCTTTCTCCTTGTGGTGAGTAGGGGTGGGTGTGCAGGGCGGGAGTCTTCCTGCTCCGGAGCGGAGACGGCTGTGCCCTTCTGTGTGTTCGCGGACGTTGGCTGCCATTCATGTGCAGAATTCGGTACAACCTCCTCCAGCTCAGAAAAAAGGAAGGAAGATAACCGACTACGTTAGACCTCGTCTTTCAAACCGCGCTTGAGGAAGACACAGCGAGACGACTACGTTAGACCTCATCTTTCAAACCGCGTTTGAGGAAGACACAGCAAGACACCAAACCGAAAGGTTGTTCGCGTAGGTGTAACAAATATGAATATTGTCTACTTCTATGGCCTTTCTCTAATAAAAGAGAAGTTTGGATTTTTGAGCGTGTCTTGCAAATTATGAACTAATTAATCTGCTTGTAATATTGAATATGGATAATATTTCCACAGTTGGTCTGCTTTCTGTTACACCTTTGAATTTAGGGTCTCGTTCATCAGAACAATACAGCGTAGGTGTGCCCGCGGTCGTCTGTGCATTAGTCCTGCACGGATAGGGCCCATGGGTTTGCACGTCATAGTCCTCCTTGCTGGGTGTGCGGCCGGTGGACTTTCAGCCCTTTCTGCGTGCCAGGCCCTTTGCTGAAATCAAGTCCCATTTATTCTGAAAGCTGGTATGCAAACAAATGATAGCAGTAAAATGTGCCGAGAAATATAAATGAGGCTACATTAGGGTTAAAGGGAGAAAATGGGCAATTCTAACCTGGCAGGTAGCAGTCAGGGGAGATGTTTTGGAGGAGATTTGTAAAAATGAGGTAGAATGAACCACTGGGGACGATTGGCAGTGAGGTGGCAGAGGGGGCGCTGCCGATGACGTGCGGGGCCATGAGGGTGGCAGGGAGACGCTCTGTGCCTTCCGTGGCTCTGCCCCCTTCTCTGTGCTCGGGCCATTTGGGCCTAGCTTCCCTACCAGCTTTACTGCGGGGGGGGGAGGGGGGGCCTTTTGCACAACTCTGTTAAATAGGTAATGCTCATCTTCATCTTCATTGTCGGACAGTTACGACTTGGTGTTACTCTTAGGCCAGGTGTACCCTCTCCTGGCTCAGAGGACTGGGCATTAATCCTGGGAGTTGGGTGCCTCGCGTGCCTTCTCGTGGCATCTGTGCAGAGGCTGGGGCGACCACACAGTAGGTGTGCTGCACACACAGGACAGTTCACATGGATTGTGAATCACTTTTTACAGCCTTTGGGTTCTTATTTCCAAGGGGCAGGGCCTTGTGCTTTCTTGAGACTGCCTTCCTTCCTTTGCTTTGGAAGATGGGACCGAAGGCTCAGTTCAGAGGAGCAAGTTTCTGTGGACTGCGCAGGGTTTCTCGATTCCTGGGAATCAGATGATTCTGCTTATTACACAGAATGACTTTTGTTTCCCCGTTACGTTTCAAGGAATCGCATCCCTGTAGCCTTACCAGAGATTGCTAGGAAAGGCTGGGTGTTCGGGCTGAATTTTAGGTGTGGAGGATGGTGGTTCATCACAGCTGTGTGGGTGGATGCTGTCTCCTTAGAAGCCGCTGAGTGTGACGTCTTAAGAGGGGAAATGACCCTGTGGCTTAGGGAGTAGCATGCTGACTATAAAAAGAACCACTGGAATTGTCGGCCTAGCACCTGACATAAAATCCACATGTGTCAGACTCCAATTTGGTGGCGCCTGGGGCTGCAGAATTATTCCAGCTTGATTGCTAGACACAGTCTGGGTTGGCTTTGCCTGGTCGCCTGCCCCTCCCGTCCCTCACCCCAGTGGTGTGTGCTTATTAAGGGCCACAAGAACATGGCTTACAAGTTCTCGGGCTTGGAATGCCTCATTGGGAAAGCTCC